GACGTAGACGCACGCGGCCCCTTTCTTTTTATGAAACTTCCGATAAACGTTCCATGACCAAAGGATTTCCGTTTCATTCGTCAACCTGTCCCACCCGAGGTCGCACGGGATTCTTACTTTTACATCATTATTATTAGTATACTTTTGCCCTACTTCACTCCTCTTTGAGCGCAAATTACCCGATTACCGAGAAAAAATTTGTCGATAACGGAAATTAGAACACATATTTCAGTAGAGCAAATAATGTTCATTGTCAGAATTTCCATCGTCGCGAATTTCCATTTCAAAATTCCAGTAAGCTCCAACGAGCGGTTTTAATTTCGCGGAAGTCGCTGGTTTAATTATCTTCAGGTTTAAAATCGTAAAAGCTCCCCCAAAATATAACGTTCCAAAGCGAATTGAGTCAGAAATAATCAGATAAGAAAGATTTTAGTATAACATATTAAATGATCAGGAAATATTCGCAATCGTAGACGTATATCAAATATAAATATATATAATACATTTGAAATATAATATATAGTAAATTATTCTAATTTCGTTGGAAATCAGTGTGATTTACGTCTACACATTCACTACTATACTGTAATGTAATGATACTCTGCGAATGTTGAACTTCAACACTCACCATTTCACGTTGAAATGTGACCAGCTGGGTCCACGTCGACGTCGAACCAGGTCCACCCATCGCCGCATTCAGAATTCCGTCTAACGAATTGGCGTCTGGTCCTCCGTTCTGCATCGTCCCACGTTGATTGCACTTCACTCGCGACGCGATTAATATTCACATTATAACGACACTTCGCGAATATATCGATGACGTCAATGAAAGTTTTTTTATAGGTCTCGAGGCGAGACCTATGAATTCGGTTAGAACGAAGGATGAGATCGGAATTTGGTAAATTCGTTTAACACGAAAATCTATTGCGATACGATAAATTCCAATAAATTCCGTCGATGACACGATCGTGAATCGCGAATCGAAAACATCGCAAATCGAAAACATCGCGATCTAAAGATTGTCAAGTCTACGGCAAGACTGAAAATACGAGAGTCGATATCGCGTTTCACATTTCGAATAACAAATTTCCTGATTCGTGAATTTGTGACAGACTTCGAATCGGAATTCGGATTCTATATTGAACTCAGAGCAAATTCTGTTTTAAAAGATCGATAAAACATCTTGAAATATAACATTATATTGAGAGAGATATATAACACTATTGTCCTCTTTTGATGCTTTGGAATTATTTAGTACGTACTTGTCTTATATCTACATAGTCTTTATTTCCAGTTTCAGTAAGCAATAGATATTGATTATATACCTTACTTACTTAATTCAGATAAATACGTGGTACATATACAGAGTACTCGCAAGTGGCGTGAAATCTCACGCACGATAATTTCGCAATATTTGCACGAAAATTACTTTCGATGGCGCAATTTTTATGCGCATTGTATATTGCTCGAAACAATCAATAGACCGCGTTGAATAAAAAGTTTTATTGAATAACAGTTAAATTTGAACCAAATGTAAAATTAATCAAAATATCATATTTATACAAAAATATATTGTGTGATATAAATCGTGATATGATATAAAATCTTAATAAAAATTAAATTTATTTTTTTTTTAATTCGACATTTCAAACATCTACTAGGCGTGATATAGGCATTTAAATAAACAATTACCTAACTATTTTCGTGTTTTATTTGATAACACATACATTTGCAAAAGATCTACCAGCAAAGTAAATCACACTGGCTCCAACGATATTTTATAAACATCCATTATCTTAATTTTTTTTATCCAGTTTCATTTGACTCACCAAATATCTGCAACTCAGAGCTGGCTGCATTCCGCTACCCAGATCTGGAACAGAAAATACAATTCCACCATGTAGATTTATTGCACATAGAGATACGAATGGATTAGCTCTTTGCGATCGCAACTCGAGTCATCCTGACAGCTATTTCTCGATTTACGACCCAAAGGGTTAAGGGGAGCAGTATAGTGAGTCTGTGGAATCTACCTTCGTGCCGATTCTGCTCGGCCCGAACCGGATCCTCCGGTGCTGCATCCGCATCCTCCCAGTTGCATCCTCAAGTCCTGCACTTGCCGTGCGGCCGCAACCTCTACCGGATCTGAAACAAGAGAAATAGTTTTCCCGACTAGTAGAGAGATCACTCGCTATAGAGAAGTCAAGAACACAGAGGTTCCCGGTCGTGTTTCTCCCTTAAATCTAATCAGGACTGTGATAGTCATCATTTAGATCTCACATTGCCCTCCTTGCTCACAATGTTTTCAGCATAATGATCGCACATGTGAAGTATCGCGATTCGTCTCACAGTCGTTTCGACTGATGAGGAAAAGTTGGGAAGAGCGTACGACACGATCCGACACGTATTTTTCTCGATGTCAAAAACTGTTATGACGCCGATTTAATTTTTCAATGCGCGTTCAGATAACACCTGCTGTGTGTTTCCAAAATCGTACGACTGTTAATTACGAAGATCTCGCGATTACACTTCGGGTTTAACGAATAATCATACATGTAGATACGCGACACGTTCGCACGAACAGTCTTAAAAGCGTCACGTGATAATTTCGGGACATCCTGCGTATCTCTTTTTATTTACGCGACTCTCTCTCACATACCCGCCAGACACGATTCATTTACGTTGCCGAGCATCGAAAAGATATGAATGCACGTAAATCGTCAGGCTTCGGCGGACAGGTCTACAGAGTATTTCCCTCTAACTATGGCTCGGAACTTCCGGTCAAAGCATGTCGATAGAGACAAGCCACACCATTAAGCGCCGCGATACCCCATACAAATCACGTCGATCCACGATTTATGGTCCATTCACCCTCTCTCGCAATCGCGTTATCAGTGCCGATGGTTGGCTCGCCCGAAACGAGGCTTCTCCATGAAAACACGTTGTTGCGACAGTATAGTATAGAGTAGGGTTGTTCCCTTCCCTCGTATTAACGGTGTATCAAAAACGCCATTTCGATCTTCAACGATATCCCCGTACTCCCCCGTATTCTACTCTCAGATCACTCACGCATATCACAAATGCAATTCGCACAATCGCTTATGCATAACGCAATTTATGTTGCTTTGAATAAAGATAAAAATTCCATCCCTCCCTACCTTCCGGTATCCCTTTCTCTGAAAACACCCGCGGTTTCATCGATTACATATCGCGATAGCGCTATATTGGTTCGACGTGACGAAATTTTTGGAAGCTTGGAAAATTCGAATCTAGATAAAGAGCTTCCGCACGGGATATGCACAATGCCTGCAAATATTATATTCGCGTGAAACTTCGCGGGAATCACTAAAGCATAAAGTGCCACCCGAGTCGAAATTTTCGTTCCAAAATAATCCTGCAAATTCTGACGAACTCTTGAAGGACCAATATAGAATCTGTATATATAACACTATTAATCCTGCAAATTCTGACGAACTCTTGGAGGACCAATGTAGAATCTGTAGATATAACACTATTATATATCTAGCACCATTGTTCTACTTTGATGATTATTCACTGCCGTTTTCTTCATGTTGAATTGTCCTTAAAATGAACTTTTTTGGAACTATTTAATATTCGATTATCCCTATATCCTATCTGCATTTAATATTCACTCTTAATTTGAATCTGCAATATATAAATTATATATGTAACTTGCTCAGTTACAAATAGAATGTACAAAATAAGAAAATATTATATATTTATTTGTACGAGTTTCAACGCTACAAATTACTGTCCAGAGTGCCACAGCAGAGCAGTAGAGACAGTATGTTGAATTAGAAAGCTAAAATGAAGGGTGCAAGACATGGCTAACAAATATATTATATATTTCTAGCTATATAAATATACATTTCTAGATGTGTGTGAAATTGTTTATTATGCAAGGCGATTCCGATTTTAACGGAAATATACCATTAATCCTATTATTGATGTATATTATGCATTTAATATTTGTTTATCTTGCATCTCTGTGAAGTACGTTAATCAAAACATTGCTAATTGAAATTAAAAGTAAAGATTAAATGTAAGTAGGAAATAATGAAAGAAAAGCAAATATTAAGTAATTCTAAAGTTGGTTCCTTTTTAATGACAATTCAACATGAATAAGATAGTAAGTAACCATTTGTCACATTAAAGTAGGACAATATCTTGTATAATGTTATATTCTGAGATTCCCCACATCGTTCCTTCAAATTTGACGGAATTTGTAAAATTAACATAAGGGGAAAATTTCGACTCACATAAGTTTAAATTTTTAGTACTCTATGTTACGATCGTGTCGCTTCGATATACATATGAGGACGTACGAACCTCATCCTCTTTTTTTTTTTGCTATCTTTCCGTCATATTTTATATTTATATTTACCCATTATCTTCTCGCACAACGTATGATATTGATCAGATTGAAACGGTGTTTTCCCCATGCTACGTTGATCTTAAATATTTTATTAAATTCTTTTGCGCAACTTGTTTTTTATCTTTCTCAATGTTCACGTAATGCGTGATGACTATATATTCGTTTAGATGATGACTATGAAGAAAACAAAATTCGAGCAATGACTGATATAATACATAAACTTTAATAAAAAAAAACATCGCGTTAAGTCACGCGAGTTATATGGAGCGCACGATATTCTTTTTTAATTTTATGCCAACCAAGTAACTTACACAATGCAAATTACGACGGCAATTACTTAAGATAACGCAGATTGAAGTCGTCAAATACAACATGCACGAGTCGCACATTTTCTGCAAACTGCACGACTACACAAAACACAGACGTGTTGTACACTCGTAGAATATCCACATCTTGGAATTAATTCACGCAGTACGTCGACATAAATTCTTCTTTTTCTACAGCCGGTAACAATTCGCATTACAGAACGTACTCCCCGTCCCTGTTTCTTTTTTTTTGTTTTTCTCATCATTCTCAGCTTTCTTCTTGTTCTTTATAATGTCAGGAGTGCCAGCGGTGTACTACCACGGAACAGGAAGTGAGAATGCAGGCCGCGTGTATACGGAGGCGCCGATGCAACACGTCCAACGCAATGCACTCCGGAAGAAATGTATGAAGTCGACATTCACTTTGCTCGAAATACGCACCGAAATACTTCCTTCTCTCTTTCTCTCTCCATCTATCTATCTTTCTTTTACATACGCACGCACACATACACATGCTCGTGTACTCTTTTCGTCATCGTCGGCCTCTCTCTCTCTCTCTCTTTTTCTTTCTCTCTCTTCTCTTTATCTGTTTCTCTCTATATCTGGAACAGAAATCCCCCATGCGCGATCTTTCGAAGTACAACCATTTCTCCGAGCATTCTTCTCGAATCGTCCCGCCTCGTTTATCGCGTTTCGTACGTTTCTGCCTTCGTCTGTTTCCGCACGGAAAATGCATATTAATACCGAAGTGCATTTCGATGCACCGAGTGCTACTCCAGGGAGTCTCGCGTCGTAGTTTCGACGGCGATCGATACCCGTAGGTTCCATTATTGCCACAGCCAGTTGATGCATCCGAATCGAAACCCGTAGTCGCAGTGGTAAACGCCAACGCGGTTTCGAGCATCCTCGCCTCGATGGAGAAAGCTGATACCGTCGATACGAGCGAAAGCTCTCTAAGTGCCTCGAGAAAACACCTGTCACATTTTTCGGCGACATATGGCGCTTCCGTTATTTCCGACGTGTTTCCTTACATGCGCGAACTCTTATCACCCGTCGGACGTGATAACGCTGATGGAGACACCTAAACGAACGCCTTGAAGAGACGCGTTTGAGCGTCGCCGAGGACGAGAGGCAGAAAGCACGCACGCATATCTCGAGGATCCTCGTTGACATCCTCGGGAACGAAACTCGTAAACAAGAGAGACGATTGACAAAGCAACACACTCGGATAAATAACTGCTCTGCCGTGTTCTGTTTTCCTTTTCAGTCATCCATCTGGCGCGCCATCACTTCTCTGTTCGTTGTGTTCTGTTCTCTTTTCTTTTTTTTTTTTTTTTTAAACATACGTTAGCTTTCGGGCCGTATATTTGTCGAGTGACAGTCGACGGAAATGAATAGCGAAAGCACATACGCGCGTTGCAAGTGCGGCGCAGTTGTGACCGAAGTTTTATGTTTCAGTGGATCTAACCAATGGACAGCTCACCCCAAACAACAACACGCCCTTACTTACGCAAGCACTTTCTGGTACGTTTTAAAATGTCTTTCTTCTACTCAGTGCTGCGAACATAATGCGCTTTTATCGACTCGCTTCGTCGCGCTGCGATCGATCCACCCGGAAACGCAAACAATTTCGGCTACGGCGGCTGCTTTTTCGTCAACTAGTCACGCGAGGCCGCGAGCGATGAAGATCGCGCGCGGCCGATAGTACGCGAGAGAAGTTACCCCTCTGGAAAGGATACTCGGCGACCGCTCGAACGAAATACTGCACGGAAGAAAAAAGATTAACTGCAGCAGTTAAATTAGTTGTAACATATGGACATCTGAAACTTTAGCAGCGCAAGTAATTTTAATTGCTGTAGTGGAAAACTCTTTTACTGCAACAGCAAACGTACTATCGTAAATGTCATTTACGGGAAACAAAGTTTGGTGGAATTTATCAGATAATGAACGGATCAAAACGTGTTTTGGCTGAAGGACGCAAGGTTTCTAGATCTTTTGACCCTTTTTGAATTATATAAACTGAAAATTGGTTTGAACGGCAGAAAGATTTGTTGAAAGTATTAATTACTATTTTTGTCGGATATACGGACAGCGAAATTATTTCTTCCGTAACGAATCTTTTTACTGTCACTATATTAACAAACAATTTCCAGCCAAACTTGTTTCCTCCGTGTTGGTTCACTCACTATCCGGTCGATTCAACTAAACTCTTTTTTCGTACGACAATACGTTTGCTGCGGCAGCAAAAGAGTTTGCTACCGTAGCAATTAAAATTACTTACACTGCTAAAGTTTTAAGTGTTCATATGTCGTAACTAATTTAGCTGCTGAAGCTAACCTCCTTTTTCCGTGTGCGATAATATATTGAAGCGCGATATTACGTTCGAATCGAGCGCATCCGCGCTCGCCTCGTCATTTCGGTATCGCGTCCAACATTATCACGAATTAAATTCTGTTTACAGGATGGATAATTTCGCAGAACATCGGGTCACTTAATGCTCCACAATTCTAGCGTTTAACGTTACTCGATGTTCTCACGAATCAATCTCCATTTGCCGTAGACAGTAACGGTCGGAGGAAAGATTTCGCTCGGTTAATGTCTGTAATTTCGCAAGGCGATCCCCAACTCGTGAACGCGAGCAATGGAGAGAGAGCATGGCTGCTTTATTGGGCATGATTATACCGCATGACTGTTCTGTGTAGAATCGTACTTGCCGGTTATCGCCGAGCGTATCGCGAGCTTCAACTGACTCGCGACGAGAGAGAACGAAAACTCTCGCGCGGAAAGTATCAAATCGCAACGGATATAAATCAAGTAACGAGACTGTACGTTTGCCTCCCCGTCGCGCGGATTTACGTAACGTTTTCAGTTTCGTCGGGAACATTCATCTCGAGATGCCTTTCCTCATCGCGCCGGAACGACGTCTCTTCGCGACGGTGGCAGAGCGCGTCGGTATTAATAGATATACCGTCTCATTACTTCCATCTCTTAATCTTCGCGCGATCGCTTCCCGTCGAATCGCCGAGAAATCGTTACGAGGGAGCGAAAGGGAAGAAGAGTGACGTGAGAGGCGGGAAACGCCGGCAACGTCGTCCCCCACGGCAAGAGAAGTGTCGCACACGCGAGGGCGCCGAGATGCCGGCAGCAAAATACGCCCGCGCGAGCGCCTCTCTTTTATTTCCCCCCCCCCCCTTTTTTTCTTCCCTCGTTCTTCCCTTGTCCTCCTCATCCAGAATCTGCCCCCGATCTGCCCGCCGTCGCGCCGTCGTGCCGTCCGCAATCTCCTCTCAAATAAATCAAACTTTTGAATCGCGTTCGTCCCTCCGCCACGGCCCCATGCGCACCTCCCTCTCGTCGTGCGGCACCGGCACAAAACTTTGTAACCGGCCGCCATTGTCAAGAGTTTAAAAGCTGAATGGGTTTTTAGATTGTACGCCGGGGCGCTTTCGGTTTCCCGTAGCCTCGTCCCTCTTCTCCTCGCCACCGTCGCGAGAGTTTCAAATTCTTCGCGTACCGCCCGTTTACGACGCTGCTTCCTTCGCTTCCTCCTCCTCTTCGTCGTCGTCTTCTTCTTCTTCTTCGTCTTCTTTCTTCTCCCGACTTTCGTCGTCTTTTTCCTCCTGCGCTTTCGTGACCGCCGTTAATCCAGAAATACGTACTGTATGACATTTACGCGAGCGCGCGCGAGCAACGTAAACGCGATACGCGGTATCGTTCGAGTCAGATGCATTAATCTCCGCCGCTTCTTATTGGATATCTGTCAGAGTTTTTACGAGTGCGAAAGTTTTGGAATGCGGACGACGCGCCGAGACACACCGTTTCCCCCTGGCGCAATACAGCTTCGAGAGTAACGCTGAGTAGTTTCGTCATGATTTCGCTCCTTGTTACTTTTGTTCGCCCAGTATGAGGACAACGGAGCTGTTGGCAGAGTTCGGGAAGAAATGTGCGAGAATTGATTTTGTAAATACAATAATTGCATTGTGGCATTCCCATTAATCCTAGTTATTGCGCGCGCGCGAGCCAGACACATTTTATGTGTCAGCGCAAGCTGTAGAGAAAGTTTTAGAAAACTGACGCGTATCTTTCCCTACGATTCTCTTGGAAGCTCGAAAGTAGCAAAGCATATATAATCGTTTGTAAGACGGAAGAGGACGACGATAAAATATATTGGAAGTGCCAAGAAGATTTAGATCGCCGGAAAGTATTACTCGACATTCGCTTATTTGAGAGGAAAATCTGTCCTGTAAGATTTTGTTTCTAACTACCCCTGGCAACTATCGTTTTCCTGCCAATAACTAGACTCGGTGCAAGAGAGGGATCAGTTCGTTTCGCAAAATTTTTCAGGAAAGACGGAAACCCGATCTCGCGATCTCGGAATTTTATTACCGCGCGCTAATTGACGCGCGCGAGAGGGGGAGTAACGAAACTTATTAATTAAATTTACCATGTGACCCCCGCGATTCTACGTAGAAGCGTCTAACGCATCGACACCGCGCGGGTGGAAACGCGTCTTCTCGAAATATAGAGACGCGAGTTTCATTTCGAACTTATCCTCTCTCTCTCTGTTACACACCTGACGCTGCGATTGTCCGCGCTACTTCACCCGCTTCCTTCGTTTGTACTCTCATGGGGTTTTACTCTGAAAGCAGAACGCGCAAGTTTAGTTTTCGTCGCTTGGCCTCTCTCTAATCGAACCAACCGTGCGCAATTTTCGTCCCGTCTGACTTCTTAACAGCACGAAGGAAAGTTAGTCTTCGTGCGGACCAAAACATTATAGAGAGCGGTAAACGTGTAGTCGAAAACCTGTTGTCTCTCTCTCTCTCTCTCTGTCTGTTTCTCTCTAAACTTCTCAAGTCGGTCGCCATCACTGCGTCGTGCGATTGCGTTGTTTGTCTCAGCGACGTGTTGTACAATGTTGTCATACATACATACATATACGTAAGCAAGATGCTTTTTTTTATTGTTATCTCTATGGTCGTACGTAAAAGCTGCCTTGCGATACGTTTCATGAGTGTCTACTTTTATTTGTTCCTCTTTTCTTTCTTTCTTCCTTTCTTTTTCTTCCTTTGTCTTCGATGAGATGCATTACGCGGAAAGACTCGTTGAATGGACTCTATCCTTTGCTCCTTGTATTCAGTGTCTGTATCGTGTATCGTGATACATAATATTCGTCGGTGTAATCGTATTTACGCGATGTTGAACGCGGTAGACGCACACAGCGCGGTCTCCTCGAAGTAAAATGTAGATCGGAGATCTCCGTCGTTCACGTGTGCACGAATGGGCGTGGGCTCGTTACGAGAAACATTACATTAGTGTGTACGAGTTAAAGAATCTTATCTTTAATGAGATTTAGCCCGCTAAAGCGAAACGAGTCTGATATTAGTAAGCGGAAAGAGGCGGAAAAGCTAAAAACTCGGGGCGAACAGCAACGGAGCAACCACGTGCCTCAAGGTACCTTGCATGGAAGATTCCTGAATGGGATAAGGCATGCAATGCTCGTGTCGCTATCACAAGCGAAGTGAAATAATCGGAACTTTCGCGTCCGATAAAAAAATGGTTACTCAAACATTCGTTGCAAAATACCGTGCGCTACAATTCAAAGATCGACTTCGCGCGTCGTTCGGTAATCAATCAGATTCAAGATTTCTCGAGTCTTCCCGAGTCCTCAACCAAAATGCCGCCGATCAAAACCGCCGTCGGCATGTTCGCTTCGTGAGATTCGCAAGGAAACACGCGATCTCAAGTTATGTTTCGGTGTCAGCGGCCGGTTTCTTTTTTCACTCGTGAAACTAAATAACGGACTAACCAGCCGACGACGAGATAACGCGACGTTATCACGTGCGACTGCAAATTGCTCAAATCAGACCATGCTAGTTGAGGATCTCGCGAATCTCTCGGCGTCTCTCGAAGAAGTTTACGATTCGGCGCGCGCGGCAATCTCTCCCTGCGCACTTCGCGGTGGACGAGGACGAGTTTCTCGCTGAGGCTCATCCTCGTTGCGATGACGATGTCGGCGATGTCTCGGGTTAAGAGGGTGAACATTGACGTGGGTTCGTTGCAGTGATGAACAACTACCAGGCGGCCGCAGCGCAGGCCGGATTCCCGCCGGCGTCGCCGCATGCGGCCGGCGGCCACGGTGGGCCTCAGGGCCGGTCTTTCCCGGCGGCCAATTCGCCGGGCCCGATTGACATGTACAGCTCGGGCGCCGCAGCCGCAGCAGCAGTCGCAGCCGCGGATTCCGTCGCAAGCTACGTCCAGGCCGCAGCTAGCCCGCAGCCCCCCACGACCGCGTTCCCCGCGATCGCCGTATCCCGTGCCCCGCTCAACTACAGTCCCGTAAGTCCATTTAATGCTCCCTTTTTGTCACCGGATCGGGCCCTTCCCGAGATGGATGGAACGAAAGGACGAAGAGCGTGGTCGGGAGTCCAGGGCTACGGCCCCGACGATCATGCAGGATTTACTCGTTATTTTGCTTATCCCGTCGCAGATAATTCGCAGGATATGCGCGATTTTTGCTGGTGCGAGTTGGGAACGTTTCCCGTCTTATAAAAGGAACCGTCGCGACGCTGAATAGAATTTTCGTAACTGACGCGGATGCGAGGAGAACTGGAAGGGATCGGAGAGAGTAACACAACTGTGGTTACCAGGCTAGAGGCGACTACAAAGGGGGATTAATACGAGAAGAAGCTTTTACGTCGCGTTTTAGTTGTGACGAGTGATGCAGAAGCGTTCGCTAAAGTATCTTCGCTGAACGTACACGCGTCGGTGTCTCCCCCAGTGAATGTTCGTAAAGCAGATCATCCAAATGAAATCGACGAGGACAAAATACTCGCGGCATTGTGTTCGAGGACTCGCACCGCACGCAGAAATTAGAAGTGCATTTAACGTTGACGCGAAAAATAATGCGACATCGAGGGGGATTTTGTTCGATCCATCAGTCGCGTGTCGACCAAGCTCTTTATCGTTTCGTTCCATATCGCAATTTCACCAGCTTTACGCGTCTATATGACAAGCAAATGTGGGTGCGATGCCCTCTTTAGCAAACATTTAAATGCAACCGGTTATCAATCTTTTACAAAGATACTCGCTTCCATATTGTACATATATTATTATATTGTACGCTTTACATCCTATATATTCTAATTCTATATTTTACGAGTACGTCTCTGGTCCGTCAGGTATAGTATGACAATTATTATATTGACTTATTATCAAAAATTATACTTAATATCTTTTATAGGAGATTTCTCTAATCCATTATTTGCCTCTCTCTCTCTCTCTCTCTCTCTCTCTCTTCCTTTCTCTCTCTCTGCAATAAATTAATACGTTCAATATTACCTGAAACTTTCCTATATAATAATCATGTTCCTCGCATCTTGTCAATTATCGTTATCCTTACATCGAATATTTCGGAGAATATAGCACAAAAGTGACTACAACCTCGGAAGCCAAGTACCGCAGTTGCACGTCGCAATTTTAGATACGCAGGCAAGCGCAAGGGTTTATCTGCGCGCTCACTCTTGTGTAATAATCGTTATTTTTATGGAAAGGTTGATGAGACCGATATCTTCTACTGTTCCAGGGGCCTCTCATACCGGCGGCGTTCACTAATGGCTACCATTGAGCCTTGTTAAGACCTAATAACAGGTACGTGCGTCATCAAAAATATTCCGCGGAGTAGAATATAGATTTTACTTTAAAACGAGTTTATCGAATGTTTACTGCGAATAAAACAGTCAAATTTTATCTCCTCCGTCATAGTTTCTCGCGCAAAGATATACGAGAAACAACAGCAACGATAGAAAAGGAAAGGTTTTATCCCGTCTAATGATTTATCTAATGTTAACAAAGTAAGGGTAAATCTTACCTTCTGCGTCTTGTAAGGCCTGGTTTTTCATTTTCTGGTTAACTTGTAGTTTAGACTTGAACTGATGATAATGCAAAAATTATGTTTTTCTATTCATGGTTAATCATTAAACTGATGGTTTTGTAGTTGTAACTTTTAAAGTTTCATGATTAACCATGAATAGAACAACATAATTTTTATATTATCATTAAATTAAGCCTAAACCACAAGTTAGCCAGAAAATGAAGAACCGGGCCTAAAAATCAGAAAGTAAAGAAGAAAATTAAGAAATTTCGCGCTTTGATGTATTTCGATAAATCCTCAATTTTCTATTCGCCAGGATGGACGAGACGGCAGAACGCAGCACGGTCGCCTGATGACATTATAAGCAACGGAAGTTTTGAAGCAGCTAAATACAGTGGATAATCTCTGGACGAAAAAGAAAACACATATATACACGACTACTGCAAATGACGATCGAAAGTTGCGATGCATTAAAAAAATAAAAAAGAAAAAAAAATAGATAATATCGAGTAGAAGGCAACAATCGAGTAAGATCCAATCGATGCAACTTCAAAGTCCAGGTTGTAGACAACTGGACGTAATATTACGCGAATATCGACAACGCATTAAGGCGAAGAATTTAGACCGTTAGTCGGATCTACGGAGGTTGGATGCAGCTTATAAGTAAATAGAGATGAAAAGCACGAAGACTGCTGAAGAGGAAAGGGAAGCTGAGGCGGGAGAAGACTACGCACGTCCAACGCACGTCCAGAGAAGATCAGAGAGAAATGATGAGAGGAGAGCGACAGGAAGACCGACCGTCAGACGGAAACAGAAAGAGAAGACAACGCGCGCTGCAATAGGCTTAGCTGTGGCCGAAACTGCGTATTGACGCCAGCCCGTTCTCCGATATTAAAAAAAGAAATAATAATATAATAATAATAAATTAAATTAATATTATTAATTGCTAAATATTTAAGCGGTTAAGTCTAGAATATATAAATAGTATATATATATATAAAGATATATATATAAATATATATATATACATATATATATATAAATATATAAATAATTGATAATTATTAGACGATAAAAAACGTATGACCTCTAGTATTTAAGACAGATAAAGAGGGACGGAGGAGAGATACCAATTCACGAATATTATTATAACTATTAATTATTACATGATTACTATGGCGAGATTGCCCGCGTAAATATATTATTACATAACGATAGGCACGCACACGTTCGCACCTGGGAAAGACTTTTGTTTCTGGGCTTTCAAGTTTTAATCGCAAGCGCGGGTAGGGTTGAGGAATTTAATGTCGGCCAAGAGAAGAACGACGACGCGGAGAAGAGAGAAAAGGAGGAGGGAGATAAGGGATGATGGAAGAAAAAAGTAAAGAAAAAGAGAAAATATAAAAGACGGATAAATCGAGAGATGTTTTTGCCGCCCTTTCTCTGCGTCTCCACGCGGAGACTCGAGCTCCTTCTTCTCTCCCAACGTGCCTTTTCGCTGGCTAAATGGCGGAACGGTGCTTCTCTCCTGTCTTGTCGCAGTCCTGCTTTCCCGGGTGTGCAACGAGATAAAAAAAAAGAGGAGGAGAAGGGAGAAAAAGAAGAAGATGGATATAGTGGCGGGCGTGCGAGGGAGTTACATACGTAGGCGTGTTACATATTTGACGTCACGCTGTTAGCATTACTTGCGAGAAGAGGGGAACGTGCAAGAAGACTGCGTCGAATTTCGCGACGATGGGGAGAGCCCGAGAAGATAGCAAGAAGGGCAACAGCGGAAGACCCTCCAAGAGGAAGAAACAGTGCTAGATGATATCATTAGAATCACAGAGTAGCGGAAGCTCCCTAGCTGCATTTCGCCGACGAATCCGCCGTTTATATCCCGATGAGCAAAACGCGACCGCACGATGCGCGTATCGCGATTACGATGAATTCATAATTGCAAACTCGACGAAGAAGTGTTATCGCGTTTCACAGCAATAAGATAATTTATACCAAAACCGGAAAGGAATTCCGAAGAGTTCTACTTGTTATCGATCTCATTTCTTTGTTATTCTGCGTTGAGAGACTGCGCGGCGCTAAGGCTGCAGCTTTGGCGAAGTCACTCAGCTTGTGTGACGCCGAGTGTGCTCTTGCTTTCTCGAAACACAACGGGATATGAACGGTGTCGATTCGCGCCGCTCCGTAATTCTAATTGACACCGAACGCTCGCTTCGATGTTCCGCTCGGAGTTTCCGCTTCCGGAGGCGCCGGACGATGACTGTTATGAATCTAATCGGCCACTGTATAGCTTTAAAACCGACTACGTGCAGTAACCCCTGTTACAATATACACACATATTACGCGTACGCGCGAATTACCGTGTAATTGATTTAAAGTAACGCCGTATATGCATGACCCTATAGATGAGTCAGTGTAAACAAAAGAGAAAGGAGATGCGAGAATTTCTTTCAAAGCGGCACATAACCGCAGCACATAATACACATAAACACACGCATACAAACACATCAGTACACGCAAACACATCGTACACGATATAACTCGCACACACACACAGAAGCTACGACACACGCTCCACATCCCCGGCGTCTAATCGTCTAAGGCTGAGTCACACCGACAGTCCGGATTAACCAATGCGCTGGTTAGCGATTCATTATATATATATATATGTATATATATATATATATATATATATATATATATCCTCCGCTAAATTATAATCCTACTCGTAATACACAGACGGACGGAGGGAATTTATACTTAACCAGCGTCGGCGTTAACCGATGTAGGTGTGAACCTAAATAAGATTCATACAGGGGGAGATCAAACTATCGGGAGGAGAGATCGAGTTGAAGGAAGGAGCTAGCAAATGTATACATAGAGATATCGCGTAATCTTCGTCCGCGGTATACAGAGCATCAATCGACGATGCGCTTCAAACGCTAACTTGACGGGAGGGCGAGGAGATATTAAGGAAGAGAAAAAAAGAAACAAAATACCTAAAATTATATACGAGAGAGAGAGAAAGAGGAAGTGAGAGGGAGAAAGGGGGAGGGAGGGAGAAAGAGAGAGAGAGAGAGAGAGGAAAGAAAGAGAATGAAAGAATGAGAGTGAAAGAATGAGAGAGTGAGAAAGACTAAGAGCGAAAGAGAGAGAAAGGGGAGAAAGAAAGAGAGAGAGAGAAAAGGGGGGAGAGAAAGAGAGTGTGTGAGAGTGTGTAAGCGTTACTTTTTAGAGATAAAACGCGCGATCGCCAGTAGCGTCGCGTATAGATCTAGGAACTAAACGGGCTAGCGAGGAAAGACATAAACGTGAGAGTGAACATTATATTATAACCACCTATATATCGCAAAAAAGAACGGCTGGACATCGGATGCTGCGTTCATTCGCGCTTCCAGTAATTTAAACTCTGGATGTTGAAAGAGGTCAAAATTCCGGTAGGCGAGAACGCGGGACGAGCCCCTTCTGACATCCTCAATTGAACCATGTTATATGATACAAACGGATATAAACGAGCGACGTCGCGATTTCAAGAATCATTTCTTTCCGAGTCTCTCTCGAAAGGAGTACTCGTTCGAGCACTACTTTTTTCCTTTCAAACGATCGTTTAACTCGCATGACTCTAGAGTGCATAACACGGTCCAATTGACGAATGAATGAGCGAAGAAGAGATCGAGAGATTCCAATGGATCAAACTCGTGATGATCCCGGGGTTTAGATTAAACATTGTCATGACTTTATGATATTGCGGAAAGACCGGAGGAATTTCGGATTGGCGCGGGGACAGACTCGACTCTTCGAGGCGAGCTTCCGGACTGTTGAGAGAGATCGACATTTGGTGTGTTATCAGTTTTGAGTAACCGAACGAGTCGCTTCCGCGGGGATTTGAGAAATGGATATATCGCTACGGATGCACCATGAGCTAATTACCAACATTCGTAGGCTAAGTTGCATCGACAGTCTCGCTCAACTAACTCTGAGTTATCGATTTGATATCCCTTTCTAGAGATCAGAAAGAATCTTAGATAATATAATATAATAGATAAAGAGAAAACGAATTTCGTGTTAATCTTGATTAGTACTAACCGATGTTGATACGAAACCACAGATTCTTAGGTCTCCCGTTATGCGTGCCTTCTTCTTCGCCACGCGTCAAATCGTCATTCACGTTCTCTCAGAATTGAAGACTATGCGTAGCTAATAGAGATCTTTTCTCCCTTTCACGTGCGTCGTAATACGTTCGCACACGTAGCAGAAAAAAGTTTCCGATCTCCGGCGCAAAAATCGCACGCATAAGGAAGACTCCGAGCGGCCGTTGCTGCAGTAATATGACAGTGCATTTAAAATATACACAGTACATGTGTGGGGGGGCGCGAGAAACTCCGCCGCCGCATTGACGGAGGGTTTAACGAGAGGTTCCTCCCTTCTTTCTGGCGACAGGGGCCACATCGCCCTTAATTAAATTATGCGCGTAATTTATACGACTGGGACGTGCGCGTTTCGTTTATATATCGCTGAATACGGTTCCTTATATTGCATATTATCATTACTATGATTGAATTCACCGGGGAGAGTCATCGGTCGATTAATTACAATTGTACGAACGATGAATATACGCGCGGCTATTGCACGCGCGTGCTGTTATTATTATTGCATTAAACAACAGGGTAAACAAAAAAATGAAAGAAAGAATGAGGGAAAGAGAAGTCACTTTAAATTGGGTACGTGCGTCACGTCGAACGGCAACACTATTTTGTTTTTTCGGGTGTATACGTGCACGCAATTACAGAGAGGAATATATACATATACGCACGCAAACGAGTCAATTCTTAACGAACGTTAGCAATACTTCTTCATGACCACAAAGAGAGACAGAGAGAGAAAGAGAGAGAGAGAGAGGGAGAGACATATGGCGGCAAAATGGCTAAGGCGTATATCGCCAATACCAGTATTCTTAAGTTCCTAAATTATGCGCGTAAACTCGGTTCGTTTTAAGAAGATACATAGTCTATCGAGACCGGAAAGGGGAAGAACGAAGTGGGCGAACTGCGATCGCGTGTGTATCACCGCATTTTCGAATACCTCCCGTTCCCTTGTGAGCAAAACAAAATGGTAGCTGTCTCATTATATGGCTCAGAGATTAATTTAAGCATGGAGGGAACGTGATATCTTCGAACAAACGTTCAGAGTAGACATACTGTGCATAGGACACGGAGAAGAGCGATCTACCGTAACCGGGAAGTCGCTTTCTTTTAATCAAAAATGTTAAGCGATTTCGGTTGAAGCGATTATTTAATAATAGTCATTGATCAGAGAGAGTTATAAAAAACATCTTAGACGTATCGGAGGTAATGATTAAGTGTATATTTTTAAGTGTATAAATTTTCAAAACGCATTTTTTTCCTTTAACTCGCGAACGTGGGAAATTCAGATTCCGGTTGCCGATTGAGTGTATCGCAAAGTAGAGATAGTTTGTGACTACAATATCATTTTGCAATTGACTGGCTCGAAAGAATAAGGCAAGAGTGCGGAATCGAGTGTGAAAATCGAAATGGAATGCGATGCTCGTCATATAATAGACGAAGAAGCGATATGTTCGTAACATCTTCTGACTCTAATTAAATCAATGGCTATTACATTAATTAAGTTTAGCATACATACAAGTAAATTACATTACGCCAAAATGTACTCCACATTAAATCTGTTAACAGTCATTGAATATACTTCCTCTACGTTATAGTGTATACATGTTCCATGTATCTTTAACCATAATTAATATTTATTAATCGTATATCCCAATTCGTCCTGACTTGATTGAAATTTATTTATTTATTTATGCAACTTTTGTATAGACTCTCTCTCTCGTATTTCTATTTGTTCAGGAGAATCTTTCGCAAATTCGTACTGCAGTCGCAAGGTATCCCCGCTTTCGAACTGTAAAAAAGTGCGTATGTTTGCG